AATCGGTTGGATACTTCTGTTGTTCAACTGCGGCCCCTAAACCCTAAACTCCAAACCCTAAACCCTAAACCCTAAACATTCCAAACATCCCAAGCTTCTCAGGGTTCCGGGTTTTCAGAACATCCCTAATCCCTGAAACCCTAAACTGCACCAATGTTTGGAATTATTTTCAACATGACACAGTAAACCCTACAAACCCCAATCCCTTAACCCTAAACCCTAAGCGCGAAACTCACCAATCCCTCGACCCAAGACCCCTAAACCCTGAACCCTAAACCCTAAACCCTAAACCCTACTTTCTTTCTTTGTTGGGAAAGCCTCCGTACAGCGAAGCCCCCATGTCAGGCTGCCGGCCTGCATCAGGTACTCGACCACATCCATGGCACCGTCCGAGCTGCGCAGGGCGCATCCAGGGGCTCTTGGCGGGGCTTCGGGCTGAGGGGTCGAGAGGTTTAGGGTTCACCCTAAACCCTAAACCCTAAACCCTAAACCCTCACCTTAAACCCTAAACCCTAAACCCCAACTTCCCCAACTCTCCGGGTTGCCTCATGAACCGGCTCATCGTGAACATCGCGCTGCCTGGATCAGAAGCACTCCCTGCCTTCCACACCCTCACCCCTACAGGGTTTAGGGTTTAGGGTTTAGGGTTTAGGGTTTAGGGTTTAGGGTTTAGGGTTTTTTAGGGTTTAGGGTTTCGGGTTTAGGGTTTAGGGTTTCGGGTTTCGGGTTTAGGGTTGAGGGTTTAGGGTTTAGGGTTTAGGGTCCTAAACGTACTGGTTCTCGGTAGGGATTTAGGGAACGAGGTACACAGGATCCCTCAAAGGGTTGCATTTGCAGCGGGGTGCGTAGTTTCCCTATTCATCGTCGTGAAGCTCTACGGCAGCCAGGACACGGATGGAAACGAACCACCTGGGGACGGCGTCCTGCGACGTGAGGGTAGGTTTGGGGCTTCGGTCTGAGGGTTTGGCGTTTGGGGTTTCGGGTGCAGGGTTTGGGGGATAGCTGGTAGCTGCTCTCCTAGTTGAGCCCTCACGTGATGCTCGGAAGGCAACAAAAACAACGCCAATAAGGGCCATAAGTGTAGTAGCATGCATGTCTCATGCACATGCTGACGCAGCTGCGCTATCCCAAACCCTAAACCCTAAACCCTAAACCCTAAACCCTAAACCCTAAACCCTAAACCCTAAACCCAAAACGGGGTGTCTGAGCTGACTTTCGCACCTCCGGCTGGTACGTCCAGGCCTCCGCGTAGCCGATCAGGTCCACCTCGGGCCAGCTCTTGGGGCGCAGGGAGGGTTTAGGGTTTAGGGTTTAGGGTTTAGGGTTTGGGGTTTAGGGTTGGGGGTTTAGGGTTTGGGGTTTAGGGTTTGGGGTTTAGGGTTTGGGGTGTTGGGTAGGATTTGGGGGTTTGGTTTGGGGTTTGGAGTTTTGGGTTTAGGGTTTTGGGGTCTGCGTTTTAGAGTTTCGGGTTTTCGGGTTTAGGGCTTGGGTTGGGGTTTAGGGTTGTTTGGGTTTTAGGGTTTAGGGTTTTAGGGTTTGGGGTTGGGGTTGTGGGGTTTGGGGTTTAAGGCTCAAGCCGACTCATAAGTATTAGGGCTTAGATGGGGATTGCAAAACTCGGGCTTGGTCCATGTGCTGCGATTCGATCTTTAACGGCGCATCTTGTTTTTCACAAGGGCTTAGGGATATTGGGGTTTATAGGGTTTGGGGTTTAGGGTTTGGGGTTTAGGGTTCAGGGATATTGGAGCTTCTCGGGTTTGGGGCCTGTTTGACGAGACCGACGCCCGGCAGTGCTGCCGACAAAGTGGTGCCCAGCCCCTGACCCGACCCCCCCCCCCGTCGTTGGAGTTGGAGGAAATGGGGGTGACATGGGGGGTGGTCCCAAATGAGGGTCGAGGGCCTTTTATGGGGGTTTTGGGTTTAGGGTTGCGGGGATACCCATTACCAGGGGACCCTAATTTAGGACCACGCCCCCACATGTACCAAGGCAGAAGAGCTGAGCCACTGACAGCAATGATGCTGAAGAACAGCCTGGGCTGAGTCACGGCCACGGATCACGGCCATTGTGAGAAGCAGGGATCTAACAAAACGAACGGAACCACCACATTCGGGCATTCGTTTCGTAGGAGTCTGGATCCTCTTCCCGTGCCTCCCCCCCCTTCACCCATTCCCCTTACAGTTAACCACGCCCGCTTTTCTGGCAACGAGTGCAATAGCCTCACCGCCTTGCCAGCTGTACCGACAATCTCACCGCTTGCCCACTGGGCCGCCCACTCCTCTAAGCTGGGTTTAGGGTTTAGGGTTCAGCGCTTAGGGGCGGGTACAGGTGCCCCTATCTGAACTTGCAAACCGCAAACCCAATGAATGCGAAAGTGCGGCGACCCGGCCGACCCCGGGCTCAGGAGGGCACAATCACACCCACCGGACCCGGCAGCTCTCAGATGTCTGCAATGTTCTCATGCAACTTAGGAGCACAGAGGTCGCGAGCAGAAGGCAGGACCAAAAGAGGGTCCCCGCGGAGGCAAACCTCACGCACCAGACTGGGTGTGCGGAGAGGCTTGGGGGTTTAGGGTTTAGGGTATAGGGTTTGGGGTTTAGGGTTCAGGGTTTAGGGCAGGTTAATTGGGAGAGGGTTTTTGTGAGAGGGTTTTTGTGGCGATCCCTTGCTGTCAAGCTAAGGCATGGAATCCGGGTCTAGGCTGGACCCCGAACTGTTGGGACTCGCTACGAAATGTGACGCGTTGGTGCTCGAAGCGTGTGCATCATCAGCACCCTGCAGCGACGAATACCCCAGCAAGTTACTGGGCAGCCGAAACCCCAAACCCTAAACCCTAAACATCCATAAACATCCCTAAACCCTAAACCTAAACCTTAAACCCTAAACCCTAAACCCTACACCCTACACCCTGAACCCTAAGCTTCGGCCCCGGGCAGGCCGGAGAGGAGGAGCCAGATGACTTTGAAGCCCTGTGCGCCCGAGGGCAACGGAAGAATCCCGCAGTTTAGGGTTTGCGCTGCCAGTCCAGGGTTTTGGGGTTTAGGGTTTAGGGTAAGGGTTCAGGGTTCAGGGTTTAGGGTTCCAGGGGTTTAGGGTTTAAGGTTCCAGGGGCTTAGGGGGCGGTTTAGGGTTTGGGCTGCAGGGTTTAGGGTTCCAGGTTTGGGGTTTAAGTTTAAGGTTCCAGGAGTTTTTCGGGTTTAGGGCCTAGGGTTCCAGGGGGTTCAGGTTTCCAGATATTTCTCTATCTTAGGGTAGTTCAAGGGCCCTGCTTGTACGGGCCTGTGTTGGGTTTGCCTCCCTTTTGAAACGCGTGGCATTGGCGTACCCGGCACCCCCCCCCCCCTACCCCCTGCTCCCCTGCCCTGACCCTTGGGGGGCAACCAGAGGTGTGGGTGTCGTATTCAGTTGCGAGTATGACAACCCCACGGCCTTGACGTTCTTGATGGTGTGGATGACTTTGCCGATTCGCAGCATCCTGAAGCAGGGTGCTCCCAGAAAGGCTCGCGCTGATCTTCAAGGGCCACACCGCAGCCGAAAGATGCCGAAAGACGGATGAGCATTGAAGATCCTCCTGTTCTATGCTCCAGGCCTCACCACGATGCGTACCTCATTGCGTCGATCACAGCAGGAGATTTTCGCCGTGTGATGCAGCATCGAGGTGTTCTTCCTGTTCTCAGAACGCCGGCACTTGTGATCTGCCACGGCCCACGGCCATCTCCCATCTGAGCCCAGCGCGATCTCCACGGTGTCACCCAGGGCGGCGAAGAAGAACGGAGCCCACACCTGACACCCCAAACCCTAAACCCTAACCCTAAACCCTCCCTAGCCCGACACCCTAAACCCTTTGCACAGCTTGCCAAGGCGGCTGCAGCCACAGTGAAGAGGATGTTCAAGGTCTCCTCGCAGGGTTCAAGAGAATGCTGTGGGCTGTTCTCCCCCCTCTCCCCCCCTCCCCCCTCACTCCCCTCCCGCCCAAACCCTCACCCCTGAAACCCTAAACCTCAGGCACACCTCCCCCCGAAAAAAAACCAAAACCTGAAAGGATCCCAAACCCAAAACCAACCCACGAGGGTGAGGGAGAGGTTTGGGTGGGGGGGGGGGGCTGCGGTGACGCAACCACCTTACTTCTCCTATAACCAAGGGGAAAAAAGGTTACACTTTAATATTCCTACCAAATAAGGAAACCCAAAAAGTTTAAAGTTCAACTAAAGGCGAAGTAAGCCACAGCTTCCCAACAAAGAACCCCGCTGAAGCTCCGAGGCCTTCAGCCACAGTGCGCCACCAACGATGAAGCGAAGAGTCTGGCAGGACGAGCTGCAGGGTTGGCCGACGCAATGTGTCCGAATATGAAATAAGGTACCATAACAGATCAGGATATGTTTAGATATGTTTAGAACATGAACTCCTATCGAATAGTGTATGTTAATCTTGGGAGTCAGCACATGCACAAAACAAGGAGCCAACCGACTGAGTTTCTGAGCTCGGCCCCCCGCCCACTCGACGACAAACGAGACGTTGATAACCCACATGCCTTGACAACTTGTATGCGTGTGTCTATGAGTTTGGCACGCTCGTAAAACCTGAACCCTGGACCTTAAATCCTAAAGTTTAAGCCCGAGACCCTGAACCCTAAAACCTCACGAAGGTCGGCGTTCTCAGTCGCAGACACAGGTCGATCCACCTGACGTTTGCCGGGCATCGAAAAGGCTGGCCAGATGGCAGGTTGGGGCTGCAGGGGTAGGAGGAGATGTATATAATCAAATGGTTAATGCACCACAAGTGTAGGTATGCATATGCGTATGTGCTGTTATACAAAACCATAATCATTACTAGTATGCCATAGTAGTCAACATATGTATATGTTGTAGCACGATGAGTTCCTGGCACAGGCTTTGGCACGCTGCCGTTGGGATCCCAGATCTCCGCCTCGAGGCAGAGGGCCCGATGCCTAAACTCCTAAAATCAGGGTTTTGGGGTTTTCGGGTTCAAGGTTTAGGGTTTAGGGTTTAGGGTTTGGGGTTTAGGGTTTAGGGTTTGGGGTTTGGGGTTTGGGGTTTGGGGTTTTAGGGTTTAAGGTTGGGATGTTCCCCCTTATATATACTGTCCTTAATAGGGATTCTCATGGGGGGGTGCAATAATCTCAACTAAGGACTGTTAGTATAAGGGCGAACATCCCAAGTTTCAGGTTACGAGTCTGGGGTTTAGGGCATGGGGTTTGGGGTTTAGGGCTTTAGGGTTTAGGGGTTAGGGTTTTTAGGGTTTAGGGTTTTAGGGTTTAGGGTTTTAGGGTTTAGGGTTTAGGGATTTTGGGTTTAGGGTTTAGGGTTTAGGGTTTAGGGCTCCGACCTCAACACCCATGATGATGGCGCTGATGAGGATCGTCAGGGTGGACTCAGCGGCGCCAGGGCTGGTGCTGAGACAACTTCCGCTGGACTGAACTTGGAACCATTCTTAGGTTTTAGGGTTTAGGGTTTAGGGTCTAGGGTCTAGGGTTTAGGGTTTAGGGTTTAGGGTTTAGGGTTTAGGGTTTAGGGTCTAGGGTCTAGGGTCTAGGGTCTAGGGTCTAGGGTCTAGGGTTTAGGGTTTAGGGTTTAGGGTTTAGGGTTTAGGGTTTAGGGTTTAGGGTTTAGGGTTTGGGGTTTAGAGTCGCTGCATGGTCCCTGAATATGGGCACTTAATTGAGGGATCCTGAGAATTATAACCCCTACTACACCCGCCCAAAACCAGGTAAGGGACCGCATTACTGCTTCCTTGTTGGGGTCATATTGAAAATCATCCTTATTTGGGAATCTATAGGACCCAATATGTAAAATCATAACTAGGGGCACCATGCAACTTCCCTCAGAGTTATGGAGGCTCAGGAGGCAGCCGCAATGTCAAAGTACATGTGCCGCACCAATGGCTTCAGCTGCTTTCGCAACCTGGCGCCAGAGGTGCAAACAACCCCCTAAACCCTAAACCCTAAGCCCTAAACCCTAAACCCTAAACCCTAAACATCCCTAAACCCGAAACATCCCTAAACCCTACACATCCCTAAACCCTAAACCCTAAACCCTAAACCCTAAACCCTACACCCTAAACCCTAAACCCTAAACCCCGAAAAAAAGAGTCCCCCCCCCCAAGAGCTCCTTCTGAAGGTCCCTCCCCCCTAAACCCTAAACCCGAATCATCCCTAAACCCTAAACCCCCCCCGCCCCCTAGGAGCTCCTTCTGAAGGTCTTGTTGTAGCAGGTGTTGTAGCACGGGCGCAGCCATCGAGGGACCGACAGCTCCCTCCTCGCAGAGTGGCTCTTTGCACTTGGGGGGGTTTTCGGAATAGGGTTTAGGGTTTAGGGTTTAGGGTTTAGGGTTTAGGGTTTAGGGTTTAGGGTTTAGGGTTTAGGGTTTGGACCCCTAACATAGACCCCGAATAGTAGTATTCCCAGATAACAAGGACCTCAAAAAGGTACCCCAATCTCGGAAGCCACCGCTTTGCGTCTCGACAGGCCCAGAAGACTCTAGAGGACCCTTCGACTCATGTTGAGGCTCCAGGGTTTAGGGTGACGAGACTGTCGGCTACAATTGAAACTCTAAGCTAACCCTAAACCCTGAACCCTTAAACCCTAAACCCTAAACCCTAAACCCTAACCCTAAACCCTAAACCCTAAACCCAAGAGGCCTCGATGTGTCTGTAGGGTAGCAGATTAGGCTCGCGTCTTATGTCAGCCTGGTACTGCCCGCCCGTCCTCGTCGACGTGTCCTGCCACAGGCCAAGGTGAGACGCAGCCCGAACCCTCAAGCCGAAGCTCAAAGCCCTAAACCCTGAATAAACCCTGAACCCTTGGCCCCCAACCCGAAACCCCTAAACCCTGAATCCCTACACCCTAAATGCCCTAAACCCTGAACCCTTGGCCCTAAACCCTCAACCCTAAACCCTAAGTGCCCTAAACCCTACATACCCTAAACCCTTAAACCCTGAACCCTTGGCCCCAAACCCTCAACCCTACATACTCTAAACCCTTAAACCCTGAACCCTTGGCCCTAAACCCTCAACCCTAAACCCTTAAACCCTGAACCCTTGGCCCTAAACCCTAAACCCTAAACCTTAAACCCTCCAGAGCTCCCCGTTGCCACTTCGACCGTTGGGGGGGGTGAGGGGTGAAGCTAAACCCTAAACCCTAAAACCTACACCCTAAACCTAAACCCTAAACCCTAACCCTAAACCCTAAACCCTAACCCTAAAACCGGCGGGGAGGGGGGCGGTTTTGCCCATCGCGCAGACTTCCGGCTGGCCCGTCCTTGAAGTCGTAGCCTCGGTTTAGGGTTTAGGGTTTATGGTTTAGGGTTCAGGGGTTCCTGTTTAGGGCTTCGGGTTGCAGTTCTGGATTCTGTTGGATTCCATGGCCTGCCTGTGTCAAGAAGTCTTCGGGACGCACTTGTGTCGATTCTTGGTTGGCGGGCTATTCAAAATAAGCCCTATAAGCACTCAAACGTTCCAGGGCTCAGGGATTCGGGTTTAGGGCTTCGGGTGTGGGGGTTTAGGGTTTAGGGTTTAGTTCAGGGTTTAGGGTTTAGGGTTTAGGGTTTAGGGTTTAGGGTTTAGGGTTTAGGGTTTAGGGTTTAGGGTTTAGGGTTTAGGGCTTAGGGCTTAGGGCTTAGGGGTCTCGGGTTTGACTCACGACGGCTTGCGAGTGCTGTGGCCGGCAGGGAGCTAATCGACTCGGTGGTCAAAGCTTGCGCCAGGGCCTGACACCACATCGGAAGACATGGTCGCTTTAGGGTTTAGGGTTTAGGGTTTAGGGTTTCGGGATTCGGGAATAGGGTTTAGGGCTTAAGGCTAGGGATTGGGGGTTTCGAGTTCAGGGTTTGGGGGTTAAGGGTTTAGGGTTTAGGGGAACTCTACCTCGCACCCCCTAAGGTTGTACCCTTGTGTTTGGGGGGCTTTTTGCTAAATTTGCTAAGGGAATAGAAGGGCCGTATTCGGAGTATGTTCAGGGGACCTCCGAGGGGTACATCCTTCGGGCTACGAGTCTTTTATCCCATGACATTGGAGGTGGATCCAAAAACCCTTCTTGGGAAATCTTTGCCTGGGCTCCGATGGGTTTTCGAGGAAAATGGTGGGGGGGGGGGGGGCTCTGTTGGCAACACCCTAAACCCTAAACACTAAACCCTAAACCCCTAAACCCTAAACCCCAGAGCGCCCAAGCTATGCATGTTGCCGGGATTGCTCGGCCTCCTCCTTCGCCTCTTCCCGCGCGTCGGCCTGCTCCGGGGGCTCTGCAGGGCGCTGGTCTCCCTAAACCCTAAACCCTAAACCCTACACCCTACACCCTACACCCTACACCCTAAACCCTAAACCCTAAACCCTAAACCCTAAACCCTAAACCCTAAACCCTAAACCCAAACCCCAAGGCCTCATCCTGGCGACCGATGGCCAGGGACTTCCTGCGTTCGGGCATCTCGGAAGACGTCGGGGCCCCAGAGGAGGTCGAAACCCTAAGCTCTACAAACCCTGCACCCCATCCCCGAAACCCCATGTACCCTAAACCCTGTAACCCTAAGCAACCCTAAACCCTTTACAACCAGTTCTAACTATGCTTACAAGTGACCGTGGACCCTTCAAGTGCGCAAGGAATCTCTCCTAAATCATATTTAGGTCGCGATGTTGTCACTGATGGAAGATTCTTTCACCCGACATACTCTGCATACCCTAATGAAACCCGAAATACCCTACAACACCTGAACCCTACACTCTAAATACCCGAAACACCTTTGGAGTCTCAGTGTAGGGGCAGGTCCTCTGCTTCTCTGCGAGCATGGTAATGCGCTGCGCCTCGCCCCAGGCTTAAACGGAGTCTCTAGGGGTCGCGTGCTGCGGCTCATTCGGGCTTATAGGGCTTGTAGTGTTCATATTAGGGCTTATGGGGTTTAAGATTTCGGGCTTAGGGTTCGGAGAGCTTAGGAGCCTAAGGAAGTTAGGACCCTAAACACTAAACTCAAACTCCGAACCCTAAACCCTCAACCGCTTGCGTTTCGGATCGCAGCCTTCTCCGAGTCCATGGTGCCCATGAAGGAAGCAGAAAGCCGGAACGGCGGAGAAGGGAAGCGAAGCCAACAATCTTTTGCAGGTGCATGTGCAGTAGATATACATGGTACAGGACATGTGGTGTGGGGTGTACACATCTATATCTATATCTATACATATATATATATACTATGTGTATATATATATATATACTATATTAAAAATGGTATACACCTCTCAAAGTGCCTCAAAGCCTTGCCGGTGTCGTCACACCCGGGTTGCGGCACATGTGCTCGTGTTGGTAAGGGGCCCACTTGCAATTACGCACCATCCGATTTCTTGACACGGACCCCTCCCCCTTGTCCACCCCAAACACATGGCCATGTGTAGCCTAGCCCGAGAGTTCGAGAGCCAAACAGGCAGCGCCGTCCACCCACCATGTGGCATGAAGATGCTGCTCGGCATGGGGATGTTCAGCTCTGGCTGTGGTCGATGTCTTCATGACCAAGGCTGCCCCCCTAAGTCACGACTGCAAGTGAGCAAATCTGCAGCTTCAAGTACTACTGGCACCCCAGCGCACGACGCCACGGGTTCGGGTGCATCGCCTGCTTTGCGGCGGAACCTGGGTCAGGCGCTGAATCGGGACGAGCACTTCAATTGGCAATCGCAGAAGAAAAGTATCGCGGGAGAGGCGACCGCATGATTTTCACACCCATGACCACTATCCTGCAACCAGCCTCAACCACACCGGCAACAAGGGACATGGGCTCGCCTGAAAACGCGTATAAAGCTGCTTATAACAAAAAACAATTTCCCTCTCACATCCCTCTCGTGAAGAATCATCCTTATCGCCTTACACGCAAGAAGACCCTATCGTCGACTATTTAGGCCTTATCGATTCACGGAAGGAACCGAAGGTTTGGTGCTGTTCTGTCTGACTACTCCCGCATGGGAGAGTTCACCCAAGCCCACATGCAGCTCATCCAGTTTTCGTCCTTGAACACTCGAACGCTTTGCGCACGCAGTCTCGCTGACAAGCGTGTCTGCAGCTTCAGAGGCGGCTTCACGCGTTCGCTTGGTGCCCGTTGCGCCCGCTTTGCCACCGGCTTCCAGCATCTCCAGTAGCTTTGCCGCTCGCTCGTGCTTTGAGTAGAAGCTCCAGGCGATGACCCACTTTACGTTCCTTCCCTGGCAGATCTCAAACCGGCGCCGCTTGGCGCCGAGCTCGCCCAGTCGCTGGTGTATCGGCTTCATGGACGACTGCCTGGAAAGTAGACTGGAGTACCAAAGGCATGCCAGCTGGAATCGCGGCCGCGCGCTCTCTTCCACCAAACGCAAGACAAAGCCCACCTCGCCACCCTCGCAGCACAGTTCCACTTCCTGACCCTGGTAATTCTTCGCGTCCGACACCTGCCTGCCTTTGCTGAGTCGCCTCCACTTGGTCGTTGCAGCTTTGTGCGCGTGGTCCAGCGTCTCGTGAAAAGGCGGGTTGCAGATGGTGAAGGCGATCGACTCCCCTCGGCGAAGTACTCCCCGCAAGATGCGCCTGGGGTCCTCTTGGTATCGTAGTAGGGGTACCCTTTTCGGGGTTGGTTGCCTTATAAGGGAACCCAGAATCAAAAAAATGACGCAAAAGGGTACCAAGTCCTCCTGTCTTCGGAGGCAAACCTGTCGGGAGAGGCCATTTGCTGCCAGCACGGCTTCGGCGTTCTTCAGCGCGGCCTCATCCACGTCGCTGGCAATGAAGCTCCAACCATACTCTCGCAGCCCCAGCAGGGAGTAGATACAGCTCGCCCCGGTGCCAATATCCAGACCCAGGATGCCTGGTCCAGTCGCCTCAGTAGCTTGCCTGGCGTCTCCGTCATCCCCCGTGCCCGCGGCCAGGGAAGCGTTCAGCAAGTCTGCGACCGTGTGGATGTAATCGGCACGCTGGGGCACAGGGGGGCAAAGGTATCCCCTCGGCAGCGTCCAGCTCTGAATGCTGTAGAACTCTGCAAGCAGGCTCCTGGTCAACCTCAGTTGTCCCGTAACCTGGGGGAATTATAAAGGCTAACTTTTGGGATTCCGCTGGGATTACAGAATGCCCAAAAAAGGCTAACGGCTACCGACTCTACTACTAAGCAGCTCTTCAAGGGCCTCGCGGTTCGAGTAGTCGATCGAAGCCCCGCCCCAGGCATTTTCGAAGACGAAGCGCCTCAAGCCCACCTGCCGAGCCGCCAGATCCCGGTAGTCCAGATACTCGCGGTGCTTGTTCCGCGGGTGCATGCCGCAGGCATGGGGAACACGTATAGGGGATTTGGGTGAAGTGGGCTCTAGAGTTCTAGAGTACGCAGCTGCGAACTTGATGTAGTGAACCTTTGACTTGGATGCATTTCGGCCGACTTGGGGGTTTTTTTTGGCAATCAGGGGCCCTTCATATTCTAGACCCGCCCTAAACCCTAAACCCTAAACCCTAAACCCTAAACCCCCAATTCGTAGGATCCCTTATGTCTTAAGACCGATCCTTGACAGCTGCGGCAAGCATTGCATCCAGCAACTCGCGCGTTCGGGCTTCCGAGCTCTTGCAGGCCTTTCCGGAGGCTCCAGGACCCTATGACTAAGGGGTTTAGGGTTTATAGGGTTTAGGGTTTAGGGTTTGGGGTTTAGGGTTTAGGATTCCAAGACCCGATGATTAAGGAAGATTCCTTCGTTGAGGGGTCTCGGAGTCTCTGGGCTACTAACCCTAAACCCTAAACCCTAGACCCTACTGGTTTAGTGCTTCAAGCAAGACCTGAGTAATGCAAAGAACCCTAAACCCGAAGCCTCGGGCAGGTTGCAGTAAGCTTCCCCAGGATGGCCCTTGAAACCCCCTGAAAAAACTGGCCCTCAGTATTGCCCCTCCTAAAACCCAAACAAGGGAAGACCCCTAAACCCTAAACCCCAAACCCTAAACTCTAAACCCTAAACCCTAAAAGCCCACCGAGCGTCGGAGCCGCTTCCCTGGCCGCATCGTGTGCAGAGCCGCTTCGGATTGGTGAAACCAACTACCCAGAGCTCCAGACCGAAAGAAACAACATAGGGGCCTCGGTAGAATAGGGCTTTTGGAGGGATATTTTGGCATACCTACCAGAAGAGAAGATGATTAGTATTTATTGCGACCCCTGTGCTAAGTTAGGATCCCAATTCTGATTCGAGGAGTTAAGTCAGGCCTATTGGAGCCTCTGGGGTAACTAAAGAAAGTCTCCGACGCGATCTCGTCTGGGGCAGCGCTTACCCCTTCATGAACTTGGCCAACGGAGCGGGCTGCGTTGGCCTAGGAGCGGACGAGACAGCGACCCTCAACCATGGGCCATTTTTGGACTTGGGGCTTAAGGTCCCGGTGTAGGGTTTCCATGATATTCCACCCCTCTGAACCCCCCTAAACACTGGGACGGGTTTAGGGTTTAGGGTTTAGGGCTTAGGGTTTAGGGTTTAGGGTTCAGGGTTTAGGGCTTAGGGTTTAGGGTTTAGGGTTTCGGGTTAAGGGTTTAGGGTTTAACAGTTTAACACTGGGACCAAGGTCGGGGCAGCCCGTACTTCTGCGCGGCGGACTCGCCGTGGACGTCCACGGTGAAGCTTGCGCGCGCCTGGGTCAGCCAAGGGCTCGGCGCTTTCGGTTTAGGGTTTAGGGTTTAGGGTTTAGGGTTTAGGGTTTAGGGTTTAGGGTTTAGGGTTTAGGGTTTAGGGTTTAGGGTTTAGGGTTTAGGGCTCAGTTCTTGGGTTCGCGTGGTGTTTTTGGCTGAAGATGGTTGAGGTTTAGATAGGGGTATAGGGCCCACTGCGGGCTTTCAGGGCTCAGCGGGGGGACGTGACCCTGCAAGCCAACATGTCGTCAAATTAGGCCGTCATTAACGCCCCAAACCCCTAAACCGTAACCCTAAAAAACTCCCAAACCCTAAACCCCAAAAACCGAAACCCCTAACCCCTGAACCCCAAACCCTAAACCCTAAGCCCTAAACCCCAAACCCTAAAGCCTAAGCCCTCAACCCCAACCCTGAGCCCAAAACCCTCAACCCCAAATCCTAAACCCTAAACCCCAACCCCAAACCCTAAACCCCAACCAAACCTCTGCGTCTTCCCGCCTCGCTTTTCCAGTAGATCGGAGGCGGGCCACCGACCTCAACGGGGTCGCGAGAGGGCACCCACCCGTACCGACGTCATGGTTTGGAGCAGGCGCCGGCTGGCCCAGCCAGCGCAGAGCGTACCACCATGGTGGAACACAGCCGCAGAAGCGAGTAAGATGACTGGTGGACACGGTCCACAGTACGCAACGTACCCCCCTACCATGAGCGCGCAGCAACACCCGCCACCCCTTGAAGCTCTGCGCATGTACGGAGGCCAGCACAGCCGGAAGACACCAAGGCCCCTAGTCTGTGCATGCCCGCCTACAAAAAGGAACGGCCAAACAAACACAACGTGGGTGCCCGCCCCGGCCCGGGAGGCTAGCAGGAAAGCACTAGCCCCACCATGATCAACAGGACATGAAAAACAGACCCTAGGATCCGTCCTAAGTCCTGAATCCCAAATCCGAATCTTAAATCCTAAGTCCGTACACTAACTACCAACAATGGGGGCGGGGTGGGGGGTGGGGGGCTGCGGGCCCCAGGATTTGGTAGACCCAGATAAAGATGCGTTCTGGGACCCTTCCGTTTCTGATTCTTGGGCACCCCAGAATCCTAAATCCCACGTCCTGAATCCTAAATCCGAGCCGAACCCCCCTACTCTAGTTATGAAGGCCCCCCATAGCAGACACAGCTCCCGATTGCGGGGCGCCCACGAAGTTGGACTTCACCCCTGCCACCAACTCGATGGGCCGCATGGAGCCCTCCAGAGCGCTGGCGGGGAGTCTTACGGGAGTGTGCAAAGGGCGCCTCAGGAACATCTAGGGTTCAGGGCTCAGGGCTAGGGCTCCTTTGCTACGCGTGTGAGTGCAGAGAGGAGAGCCCGAAACCCTAAACCCGAAGACCGTGGAGGATTGCCAGCCTTGGCCGGTGTTGCCGAGTGGTCCATCTGCATGCGCCCACCAGGCTTGTCGTCCTGCTGCGGGTGCCGACACGCTTCCTCTACACACTTCCTAATTACTTGAAGGTTCATTAGGGCACTGAGAAGTAAGGTTTAGGGTTTAGGGTTTAGGTTTATTGGGCTTATCGGGCTTACAGGGCCTGCAGGGTTTTTAGGGGTTGTAAGTTTGTAGGTTTAGGGTGCAAGTGGTTCTAAACCCACAGTTATGAGTCCCCATGAACCTCCGAGTGTTGTCCTACCGGTCGGAGGTCACCACGTGAATCTTCACATGGCTGCTTAAGGCTTGGGGTTTCCATGGGTTTCCCTAACCCTAAACTTTTAAACCCTAAACCATGAACCCTAAACCCTAAACGCTAGTCCCTCTGAGGCGTGAGCTGGTTCGGCTTGCGCGACCGTGTACCGGTACTTCTCCTGGTAACAAACTGCTCAGGAGGTTCATACATACCGTTTAGGGTTTAGGGTTTAGGGTTTAGGGCGACATGTGGCGACTGCTGTCAGTGCAGTTGATCCACGACACCCCACGACACCCCACGCCAGAACGACGATCAGGCAGCTGTTGAAGCTTCATGTGCATGAAACTTTTCGTCAAACACTAAACACTGCAAGAGCGACAAAAACGAGCGGCACACAAGCGAACAGGGTCGGGACCGCCCCAAGAGAGCCCAAAGAGCCCCGAAAATCTTGGGGCAAAGCCGCCGGAGCCCGCGCCTCAGGCTTCTCGATCTTCTCCTGAACGTCTGACTGCCGCCCTAACCCTGAAGGCCGCAAAAGCCCCAAACACTAAGCCCTAAACCCTATAAGCCCCAAATCCTAAACAAGCCCTGAACCCTGCACCCTATAAGCCCTGGACCGTAAACCCTACACCTTATAAGCCCTAAGCCCTAAGCCCTAAGCAATAAACCCTAAACCCTAAACCCTAAACCCCACACTCAACAAGCCCTGGACCCCAGAGGGCAGAGCTCCCCCGGCAACCCTAAACCCTAAACCCTAAACCCTAAACCCTAAACCCTAAACCCTAAACCCGGCAACCCTGGCCTGCACCCGATGCGCCGGCCCAGCTTGCTCTAGGCTTGCCTGGCGCGGCTCTTTCGGGGCTTTTTAAAGTCCCAAAGCCCTATCGGGTCTAGGGTTTAGGGTTTAGGGTTTAGGGGTTAGGGTTTGGGGTTTGGGGTTTAGGTTTAGGGTTAGGGTGTAAGCCCTAAACCCCATAGGGTTTAGGGCTTGTAGGGGGCAGCTTAAGGCATTCTGGGGCAATGTGAGCTTGGGATCCGAAAATCCTGCAGGCGTGAACATGAAGTCCGTAACGTTCTGACCTCGACACTTCAAACCAGGCTTCAGGCTTCAGAGGCTTCAGGGTTTAGGGTTTAGGGTTTAGGGTGTAGGGTTTAGGGTGTAGGGTTTAGGGTTTGGGGTTTAGGGTCCTTGAGTCCCAGAAACAGCCCATAAGCCCTGGCACTCGACCGCCCGCAGCTCCTCAAACTTGAGCCCCATTGCTAACCCTAAACCCTAAACCCTAAACCCTAAACCCTAAACCCTAAACCCTAAACCCTAAACCCTAAACCCTAAACCTAAGGCTCGTGCATCGCAAGCCCGAAACCTCGGGCGCGGCCTTCGGCTGGGGTGGGTTTTGTCGGAGGTACGGCAGGTAACTGTCCGAGTAGGTGGTGACCTGGCGCACGGCTGCTGGCCAGTCTCCTTAAGAGGTGTTTAGGGTTTAGGGGTTAGGGGTTTAGGGTTTGGGGTTTAGGGTTCAGGGGCGGTCCAGCAAGCAGAGTTCCGACGGATGGACAGAGGGTGATTGGTTCGAGTGTATCCCAATGACACCAAACGCAGCTCCCCATAAGCCCACATTTCTGGATCCTCAAAGCAGTACTCCACAACAAGACCCCAAGCGTGTCCAGCAGGGCATATCGCTTCATTTGCAGCCTTCTGGCCTGCAGGAATGTTGAAAACATGTCCGAGGCTTACATCGCTTAGTAGCACCAATGAAGTTGAAACCGTTTGGGCGGCGGGCCTTTGCTGTACAGTGGTGGCGGGGTAAGCCGGAGAGACAGCAATCCTTACTACTATAGGAAACCAATGGCCCAAAACCCTAATCCTAAACCCTAAACCCTACACCCTGTTGACAGCTTTCCAATCTTTTACCTCGCTTGGGGTTTGTGAAGGGCCCTCTGCCAGGAGGCAAATCCTGTGCGGCAAGTTCCTAGCTACACCACCCTCCTTAATCCTGCAGGGCGGAGGGTTTCGGGTTTTGGGCTGTGGTTCAGGCGTTCCAACCCTAAACCCTAAACCCTAAACCCTAAACCCTAAACCCTAAACCCTAAGGCAGCTCAGGGCCTTGGAAGAAGAAGAGGCGCTTCCCGCCTCGCTCCTGAACAACCAGGGGTAAAAAGGCTTGCTTGAAATCCCTAAACCCTAAACCCTAAACCCTAAACCCCTTCAACGGAATCCTCATTCTAGGAAAGTTCGTCATTCCAGGAAAAAGTCGTCGCAAACAGCGGGCACATCTTTGGCGTGTGCGCTGAACGGTCGTCAGGATGTCAGTTGATGATAGGGTTTAGGGTTTAGGGTTTTGGGTTTTGGGTTTTGGGTTTAGGGGGTAGGCTTTAGGGCCTAAGGGTTTGGGAGGGCGGGGAGGGGTGGCAGGGCAAACTATCACATGCATGCTTGATTGACAAGGAGCTCTGAGAGCTCCATTGCTGGGTGGGATTTGCCTTGCCACTAAGCCCTAATCCCTGCACCCCAAAAAAACCCATGAGGTTCAGGGTTTAGGGTTGAGGGCACCCTAAACCCTTCAACCCTAAACCAAAACCTTCAACCCTAAACCCTGAATCCTAAAGCCTAAACCCAAAAATCCTAAGCGCGGCTGAAGTTTCCACCCACTCCCAGCTCCTCGGTGCCTGCGGAGGCTGAGAGAGGTCCACATTTCGAAGTGACGGGTGTCGGAAAGCCTCCCCGTAGCTAGTCCTCAGGCTTGCAGACAACCGAGAGACCTGCGGACCCCGAAACTCTGAGGTTTAGGGCTTAGGGTTTAGGGTTGAGGATTGAGCATTTAGGGTTTAGGGAAGGCCCAAAACCCTACACTCTTCTTCGAGGGTAGTTATTAACCCAAAGTAAGGTTGCAACCGTAACGGTACGCTCGAACTACCTCTACTTACTGGTCCTCATGAACCTCTCCGCAAACCACCTCCAGCCGACGTTGCCTCTCTGAAAAAGCGCCCAGGGCTTCGCAAGGTAACCCTAAACCCAAATCCCTAACCCTAAACCCTCTTCCCAAAATCCTGAACCCCTAAACCCTGCACCCTAAACCCTAAAAACCGAAACCCCTAAACACCCCAAACCCTCAACCCCTAAACCCTAAACCCCTACACCCTGCACCCTAAACCCTAAACCCTAAACCCTGAACCCTGAACCCTACACCCTAAACCCCTAAACCCTGCACCCTAAACCCTGAACCCCTAAACCCTAAACCCTGAACCCCAGAACCCTAAACCCTAAACCCTAAGCCCTAAACCCTAAACCCTAAAACCCTAAACCCCTAAACCCTGCACCCTACACCCTAAAACCTGAACCCCTAAACCCTAAACCCCTAAACCCTGCACCCTAAACCCTAAACAGCAAACCCTAACCCTAAACCCTAAACCCTGAACCCCTAAACCCTAACCCTAAACCCTGAACCCCTAAACCCTAAACCCTAAACCCTAAACCCTGCACCCCAACCCCTAAGCCCTAAGCCCTAAACCCCTAAAACCCTAAACCCTAAGCCCTAAACCCTAAACCCTAGACCCCCAAACTCTAAGCCCTAAACTGAGGTGCGAGCCTGAAGGAGACCCCGTCCAAACGAGCCAGGGCCTCGACTACCGAAGCTGGGAAGGGTGTAGGGTTTAGGGTTTGGGGTTTAGGGTTTAGGGTTTAGGGTTTAGGGTTTAGGGTTTAGGGTTTAGGGTTTAGGGTTTAGGGTTTAGGGTTTAGGGTTTAGGGTTTGGGGTTTAGGGTTTAGGGTTTAGGGTTTGGGGTTTAGGGTTTCGGGTTTAGGAAGAGCCAGGAAGTGCAAGGCGTGCGCAACTATCGGGTTTGGGGTGTGGGGTTTCGGGTTTAAAATAGACGCCTGAAACTCGGCACCCTGAACCCTAAGCCTTGAACTCTGAACCATAAACCTCAAACCCTAGACCCTTAAACCCTAAACCCTAAAACCCTAAACCTTCAACCCCTAAACCCTTATTGCCCTGAACCCTTACATCCTTAACCCTAAAACCCTAAACTACTAAAACGAACCCTTCAACCCTAAGCCCTTATTGCCCTAAACCCTAAACCTTATTGCCCTAAACCCTAAACCCTAAACCCTAAATCCTTATTGCCCTAAACCCTAAACCCTTATTGCCCTAAACCCTAAACGCTTATTGCCCTAAACCCTAAACCCTAAACCCTAAACCCTAAACCCCAAACCCTCAAGGCAGGCTTGGAGCTGAGGCTTCACCCATGCCACGCCTTCCTCGTGGAGGCTGCAAGCGGCGCGCGGAATTCCTGCCTGCTTAGGGTTTAGGGTTTAGGGTTTAGGGTTTAGGGTTTAGGGTTTAGGGTTTAGGGTTTAGGGTTTGGGGTTTAGGGTTTAGGGTTCAGGGTTTAGGGTTTAGCGTTTAGCGTGTAGCGTTTGGGGTTTGGGGTTTGGGGTTTGGGGTTTAGTGTTTTTTTTTAATCTAGGGCTTAGGGTTCGGGCCGGGCTTAGGGCTTCTTGAATTCTATGGTTTAGGGGACTACAGCGGCTTGGGATTTGAAGGTGGTGGGAGTTGGCCCTCAAAACTCTCAAACCCTCAACCCGAAACCCTAAACCCTAAACCCTAAACCCTAAACCCTAATGTAAGCCAGGGCTGTAGAGAACTTAGGGAACGCCTCCCCGAAGAGTGCAGATCTAGCAGCAAACCCTGAGGCCGCCAAATACCTTCCACCACATGCGCCCCCTCAGAACATGGGCCCAAAGGGTTTAGGGTTTAGGGTTTAGGGTTTAGGGTTTAGGGTTTAGGGTTTAGGGTTTGCTGTTTAAGGTTTAGGGTTTAGGGTTTAGGGTTTAGGGTTTAGGGTTTAGGGTTTAGGGTTTAGGGTTTAGGGTTTAGGGTTTAGGGTTTAGGGTTTAGGGTTCAGTCGGGACCCTCTGGGGATAGCTAGACTGAGTCATTGGCTGGCACAACCACTGTCTGTCATGCGCCATGGCTGTTCCAAGAACTGTTGAGGGTCGAGGGTTTAGGGTTTGTAGGTCTAAGGTATCTTCTGGCTGCCAATGAGAACGCCAACCCTCACCTCCTCACGGATGAGCCCAAAGGCTGCAGGCACTTGATGATGTGCGGTCATAGGGGTTAAATGTTTTTGGGGTTTCGGGTTCAAGGGTTAGGGTTCAGGGCTTAAGGGTTTACAGAGTTTAGGGTTTGCGGTCCGTGGTCCTGCTGTCGACGCCTCTCGTATTTTCGATGCAAAATGGGCCCCCTGGACCCTACACCCACAGACAAAAACCATAAACTGGGGAGGTTCCCCCTTATACTAACAGTCCTTCATAGGGATTATGCTACGGGATACTAAGGGGGTTACTGTAATCCCCATTAAGGACTGTTAGTACAAGAGGGAACATCCCAACGTTAAACCGTAAACTGCCGTAAACATACGATGACCCATGAGTTCTGAGAGCTCCGCATGGCCACGTTTCGTCCACCAGTCCTGCGACGACTGCAAGGGAATCTGCAAATCTGACACTGAAGTTTAGGGTTTAGGGTTTAGGGTTTAGGGTTTCATTAGGGTTTAGGGTTTAATTAGGGTTTAGGGTTTAGCGTTTAGGGCTTGCACCTCAACAAGGACCTGCGAGATAGGGTATCGCTGACGTCCCCCTCCCCCTCTCGCTTCGACTCGCCCTACATCTACTTCCGGTGCCGCGCTGCATCACATCAGCTTTCTGGCATTCTAACAGAAAAGCAAGGGTGCTACTTCACAGAGGGCTGAAGTCAGCCTCCTGGGTCGTCCTGCCGTTTTTGCGCCTTTTGCTGCAAGTGCATGTTTGCCGCGCAAGTGCGCAAGGCGGCGTCCGTAATGTGGGAGGAGCTCGAGGCACTGCATGCGGTCGGGTTTGCGAGTTTAACCTTTCGGAGCGTCTATACCCTGCCAGAATGTGATTTCCTTAGTTGTTGGTTAGGCTACTCTACAGTGGCCTAACAGCATGCGGAAGCGAAGAACTTGGCCCTGCGCGCTGCAAGCGGGTGTACCCCTGAATGTTTAGGGTTGATGGCTTACTTAGGGGCAGGTTCTAACCGAATTCTCAGAACATTCCCGGCTTTCAGCTGGCTCAACTTCGTGGCTTCCGCTTCGGCTGAGGCCTGGCGATAAATGATCTTTGGCAACATAGGCAGCTTCTTCATATTACCTAAACCCTAAACCCTAAACCCTAAACCCTAAACCCTAAACCCTAAACCCTAAACCCTAAACCCTAAACCCTAAACCCCACTCCACCGCCGACATGCTAAAGGGGCCTCCCAGAAAACTATCGGCTGTGTCTTCGACAGGCAGCAAAAAGGAACTTGAAATGACCATACTCACATGGAGGCTCACGATAGCAGGACCCTAGGAGCATCATTGAAAGAGCTGGCCGTGTCGGACAGCTGGGACGGTTGCGTTCCGGGACACCCGTCAGCATCCTCAGGCGTTGGACCTCCATGTGGCGCAGCTTCAAGACACTGAAAGGGAGCCAGGGGTGCCAGGGTGCCAGGGTGTTAGGGTGCTAGGGTGCTAGGGTTTAGGGTTTAGGGTTTAGGGTTTAGGGTTTAGGGTTTAGGGTTTAGGGTTTAGGGCCTTAGGGCGTTTGGGTTTTTGGGCCTTAGGGTTCAAAGCGGCAGGGCTGCAGGGTTTGAGGGAGTCCAGCACCACTACTCAGTGCCGCACCCATTGATCAACTTCACGATCTGCCTCAAAGCATGCTGGAGGTTCCAGGGTTTAGGGGTTTAGGGTTTAGGGTTTTTAGGGTGTAGGGTTAGGGTTGTGGGGTTGAGGGTTTGGGGAGCGTAAAAGTCGGGGCAGTGTTCGGAGGGGGGCGGGGGGGGGGGGAGGGGGCTATAGCTGGCAAAGGCCTTATGTAGGAATAGCTGGCAAAAGCCTTATGTAGGGCACTTTCGAACCCCAGTTCGAAGTACCCACGAACCCCCAGAAAGGGGCACTCGGTGCTTGGGCCATGAAGCTAAGGGCTTTAAGGAGGGGCCCTTAATCTTATTCCCCTATATTAGTCCCTTTTTGCCTAAGTAGCCCTAAACCCTAAACCCTAAACCCTAAACCCTACACCCTAAACAAAACACCTAAGGCGATGACGTGGCCGACGCGCTGGGGAGCAGACTCCTGCGGGAAAACGCCCACCCCGAAGGAGGAGACCTGAGGGAAACACAGAGAAAGACCCAAAACCCTATAACCCTCAAAAAGCCCTAAAAATCCCTGAAAACCCTAAAAGCCATACCCCTAAACCCTAAACCCTGAAAACTCTACACACCAAAAAACCCCAAAACCCCAAACCCCCAAAACCCTAAAACCCCAAAAAACACCCCAAAACCCTAAGAAAACCTGAAACCCTAAAACCCTAAAACCCAAAAACCCCAAAAACAACCCTAAGAAACCCTGAAACCCTAAAACCCTAAAACCCTGAAAACCCTACAAAACCCTTACAAAACACCTGAAACCCTCAAACCCTAAGCGCACGATCGCTCCCGGAGCACTCCAGAGTCCCCGGCGGCACAGGACTCAGCCCCATGACCTCCTGCCACAAGCAGGGGTTTAGGGTTTGGGCTTTCGGGTTTTAGGGTTGCTTTAGGTTTTTTAGGGTTTTTTGAGGTTTGTAGGGTTGTTTAGGGTATTTTAAGGGTTTTTTAAGGGTTTTTTCCAGGGTTTTTTTGGGGGGGTTTTGGGGCTTTGGGGTTTTAGGGTTTAGAGTTTCAAGGTTTGGAGCTTACATTGCGTGTCCAGTGAACGGAGTGTTCGGAGATGGCAGAAACTCAGACACGGAGCCAAAGGCACCTTCGTCATCCGAGATCACTTGCGGGACATCTTGGTTGGTGACCTGGCAGCTAGGGTTTAGGGTTTAGGGTTTTGGGTTTTGGGTTCAGGGTTTAGGGTTTAGGGTTCAGGGTTCAGGGTTCAGGGTTTAGGGTTTAGGGCTTTGGGTTTAGGGTTTAGGGTTCAGGGTTCAGGCTACGACGTGCAACTTGCGCAGCGAAGCCCGTGCTTAGGAGAAGTGTCTCTGGGCCCCTGGCGCAGGGAGTCGGAGACTGCCAGTTGCTAAGGTTCGCCTCGGGTGCGAAGCCAGGTCATGGCTTCCACAGAACTACTAGTTGCTTAAGAACCCCCCCCCAAAAAAAAAACAATATGTATATATATATATATGTATGTATATAAATATATATATACACACATAATCATCGTCCCTATATTACACCCTATAAGGAGGAATGTTTTTTAATATTTTTGAGGGGGGGGGGGGGGGTTCCAGAGCAGTTGGTAGAGAAAGGTGGGTTGCCCGCCTCGAGTTGGTTGAGACAGTCGCTCAGGAGGTCGTCACCTGAGTCCCCACATCCCCAGACCCTACACCCTCAAAACTCTGCTGAAGCCCTAAACCCTAGAACCCTAAAACCCTAGAACCCTAAAACCCTAAAACCCTAAAACCCTAAAACCCTAAAACCGCAAAACCCTAAACCCTAACCTCTAAACCCTAAACCAAAAACACCAAAAAAAAACAATAAACAGCCCGGAGTCCCTCTGCTGAGCTCGCCACTGGTTATGTAGAAATGTACGGCCTGCAAGACACACGGCAGGCCTTGATCCTTATCATACCTTCATATAGCCCCTACATACCCTGGAAAGAACCCCGAATATATGCCCTGTAAAACAGAAGCGCCTACTACTTAAAGAGACCACCAACCCTTATAATCTTTGCCTACTCAGGCTTTATGGGGTTTAGGGTTTGCCCCTGGTGCGCTCAGGGCTTTGCAAAGCTACCTCCAAAACCCTGAACCCCTACAGAAGAAGTATCAACAAAGCCTAACCCCGAAATCTTAAACCCCACACGCCTTCAAGCCTCAACCCTAAACCCTAAACCCTAAACAACCCCCTAACCTTGAAACGGCTGCTGGATTGTGGTGGCCTGGTACAGAGGAATGACGAGGTGGCGTAGGAAGCCCACCTGAAAGCAAGAGCCCTGACACCCCAGGCTTTAGGGGGTTTAGGGCCTTGGAGTTTAGGGGTTTAAGGTTTAGGGTGTTGGGGCTGTGGGGTTGTGGGTTCCCTACTATACTTTGGAGGCGGGTTGCTATGGGATCAGGGTACAGTCGCCTGAGTTGGGTATTTTGGCCAAAAACCGGGGTGCCCCCCGATGTACCCCCCCAAAGTATTAAAGTATGATCATTGTCATCCTCATTCAAGGAACACCCACCCCTATGTTGGGGCCCCAAGCCCCCCGTTCTCTCCCCTCCCCTGCCCCAATTCAGCCTGTTTAGCAAACTTCCCAAGCTGTAGAAAGGAGGTAAGCCATGAGCCCATCAGGAAGGATGAAACCCCTGAACCCTCAGCTCTAAACTCTATACACCTCATACATTCCTTGTTTCGTGTGAACCATCAACCCGACCGCCCCAGACCCTAAACCCTAATGCTGACTTATCATGCATTTATGGGGTGAGAATTGCAACGTTCGGCCGAAGAGCTGCTTATACTGGGGGGGGGGGGGGGGGGGACGGGCGGTCCGATGAGAACAATAACGGGGTGGCCAGGAATCCAAAATTTTACAGTAGATTGCTTGACATTTCAGTTGCAGAGAAGCTTTTTCGTCCGAACCGGCCAGAAACAGCTTCAGAAGCTTCACCGCAGGTCTTTAGAGAAGCAGATCCTGGGGTGCCCGACAACCCCGACCTTTGGATTTTTTGGGACAGACGTGCTGGATGGGGGCTATTCTGCATCCCAGATTTTGCGCAATATCACACAAAACCGCAAACCCCAAACCCTAAACACCACACCCCAAACCCTAAACCCGCAAACCCAAAAACAAAAACAAAAACTCTAACTCGGAACCCCATCCCCCAAACCCTAAACCATAAAACCGAAACTCAGGCCTGGGAGGTGGGGATGTTCACCTCGCTCCGGTCGCAGAGCGGTGAGATGGGGAGTCCGAGCCTCCGAAGGGAGCTGTTCTTTGTCGTAGGGCTTAGGGTTGAGGGTTTAGGGTTTGGGCTTGGGGTTTCGGGGGTTTAGGGTTTAGGGCTTTCAGGGCTTGGGGGGCTTTTGGGTTTAGGGCTTTTGGGGCCTAGGGTTTAGAGGGCTTGGGGTGGGTTTGGGGTGTAGGGTTTAGGGTTCGGTGTGTGGGGGTTGAGGCCTAGGCTTGAGGGTTTCAAGTGTTTTGGGCGGCGGGAGTCAGTTTTCGCTTGGGGGGGGATGGTGGTGGGGAGATGTGGGGAGCCAGGCCTGCAGTACACGCGGGGCTTCCCAAGGCTTCAGGTGCTGGGTTAGGGATTAGGGCTTAGGATCGAGGGTTTAGGGTTTAAGGCAACGACCCTAAACCCTAAGCCCTCAAAAACCTAGATGCCAAACTCTCAACCCAGCGCCCTCCCGGTTGAAGCCGCTGAGCCATGCACTGTCGCTCTTCCTCCCCCTGCGCGAAGAACTCCCTGGCATGAAGCGAGATGCCCCCTCTTTATCGCTTTTTTTTTGTTGCTTTGAGGGGGGGCTAGGGTTTAGGGTTTGGGGTTAGGGTTTAGGGTTTAGGGTTTGGGGTTTGGGTTTAGGGTTTAGGGTTTAGGGTTTAGGGTTTAGGGTTTAGGGTTTAGGGTTTAGGGTTTAGGGTTTAGGGTTTAGGGTTTAGGGTTCAGGGTTTGGGGCTTACTTGCTGGACTTGTTGTAGAGACTCGGGTCTTCTTGAAGGTGCAGCTCTCGTCATGGCACCCATGGCACCCATGGCACAAAGCTCACTCCAAGGGCTTGCGGGGCATCCTCCACGGTAGGGTTTGGGGTTTGGGGTTTGGGGTTTGGGGTTTGGGGTTTGGGGTTTGGGGTTTAGGGTTTAGGGTTTAGGGTTCAGGGCTTAGGGGGGTTTAGGGTTTAGGGTTACATCCGACGTGGCGAGGGCCCTGGGATGAGGGCATCCGATTTACGCAAAGAGAAGTTAAGGCCGCCGCATGTGGATGCGAATAGTCATCCGCTTTGTGATGTCCTTGGTGCACACCGAATTTACGCCCGAAACCCTAAACCCGAAACCCTAAACCCTAAACCCTACCGAAGCGCTCTCCGGCTAAGGCCGGCGCTGTGGGTTTCCCCGCATGGCCGATGTCGGCAGCCTGCACAGCGGGAATCAGCCACAAAAGGGCTTAGGGCTTAGGGCTTAGGGCTTAGGGCTTAGGGCTTAGGGTTTAGGGTTTAGGGTTTAGGATTTAGGGTTTAGGGTTTAGGGTTAGGGCCAAGCCAAGTTCCTGGGAAGATGGAATCAAAGTCTTGGCCTTCAGGTAAATGGAGACGACCCGGGCAGATCTGTCAGCCTTCATCGCAAGCCAAGGTGTTCAAATTTGCAGCGGAGATATGTTGTTGTCCTTGAAGCACATGTGACAAAACACCTATGTCAAGATGCGTGCAAGAATTCTCTGGAGAAGCTTGCTGGCAGTAACGCTTTACCCCTTGTAATCAGATCGCATTAATGGAGAGACGAACAACAACTGCCTCACCTCATTCTTTTAAAGAACAGGAATCTTCATGCACAAGCCATTGGTCTATCTAGTATTAAGAACCCCATGCTTATGAACACAGCCTGGTTTGCTAGCACCCTAAACCCTAAACCCCAAACCCTAAACCCTACACCCTAAACCCTAAACCCTATACCCTAAACCTCTCTTGCTTGCAAACGGTCTTTGTTTGGAAACCTTCTCCAAAGTCGGGTCCCTTTTCCGATGAGAAGGGTGCCATATGAGCCCTGGCAGAGTATACCTGGAGTGCCCACCCCCAGCCCTAAACCCTAATCCCTAAGCCCTAAACCCTAAACTCGCGTTTGGGGCTCAGGGCAGGGACCTTGGATTTCAACTCTTGGGTTCAAGAGGGTCTCTTGCATTGGGATTTTGATCATGGGGCTCAGAAGGCCGACCTGGCTCTTCGGGGGTTAGGGTGTTAGGGTTGAGGGGTCTAGGGTTTAGGGGTTTAGGGGTTTAGGGCTTGGGCTTTGGGGCTTAGGGTGTTTTGGGGGGCTTTTAGAGTTTGGCTTTGATTCCTTGAGAGTCACACGGGCGCTTGGACACTCCAGAAATACTTTGCGGAATCGGGTGTGTTGGGATATCATTGGGCTTAGGGTTTAGGGTTTGAACGCTCAACCCTAAACCCCAACTCCAAAGCCCCTAAACTCCTAAACCCCAAACCCCAACCCCCCCAAGCCCTAGACACGTTGCTAAACCCCTAAACCCGCCCAAGCCCCAAACCCTAAACGCCCCAACCCCCTGAAGCCCTAAACCCTAAACCCTAAACCCCTAAACCCTAGAAAAAGCTCCTGGGCGCCGAACCGAAGACTCAGCGAAGATGGGTGCCTCCTCATTGGACCGGGACTGGTCCGCGGACCTTGGAAGCGTTTTTTGGTTTAGGGTTCAGGGTTCAGGGTTTAGGGTCTGGAGTCAAGGGTTCAAGGTTTTAGGGTTTAGGGTCAAGGCTTTCGGGTTAAGGGCCCAGGGTTTAGAGTTTAGGGTCAAGGGTTCCTTAGTTCCTTACGGTTAAGGGTTAAGGGTTTAAGATGCTTAGAATTCAGGGTCTAGGGTTTGGGGTGTCGGGCTTCGGGCTGCTTGAGAGTTCTCGCTGAGGGCTTTGTTAGGGCTTCGGTTTTTGCAGGGTTTGTCGGAGCTTTCTCTGGTGCTTCTGAGGCTTTGTGGGTGTGTCACGGGCCAGTGCAGGATTTTGGGGGTTTAGGGTTTACCTAAACCCTAAACCCTAAACCCTAAACCCTAAACCCTAGACCCTAAACCCTAAACCCTAAACCGTAGGGTCCATGGGGATTACGGTCGGGTCACAGGCTTTTGGGAGCGCAGCAGCGGGGGCCGGAGTGACCTCGGCCCTAGCGCATCTCCGGAGGGTCCCTCAAAGAATCCCCTCCCGCCAGGCTTCGAAGGGCTTAGGGGTTAAGCGGGGCTTAGGGGGGTTTAGGGGTTTTCAAACCCTCAACCCTAAACCCTAAACCCTAAACCCCTAAACCCTGAGCCCCTAAACCCCTAAACCCTAAAACCCCTAAAGCCCTAAACCCTAAACCGTAAACCCAAAACCCTGAACCCCTAAACCCTAAACCCCTAACCCCTAAACCCCTAAACCCCTAAACCCTAAACCCCTAAACCCTAAACCCGAAACCCCTGAACTCTAAACCCTAAAGCCTAAACCCTAAACCCCTAAACCCTAAACCCTGAACCCCTAAACCCCTAAACCCTGAACCCTAAACCCGAAACCCCAAAACCCCTAGACCCTAAACCCTAAACCCTAAACCCTAAACCCCTAAACCCTAAACCCCTAAACCCCTTGGCGGGTCCCTCATGTCCGGGGCCCGTGCTCACAGAAGTTGATGGAGGCTTTGAACCTGCCGCGTGGGCGTCAGAAATCGCCAACCACCAAGGGTTCTTGGGGCGTTTAGGGTTTAGGGTTTAGGGCTAGGGTTTAGGGTTTAGGGCTAAGGTTTAGGGCTTTTTTTTTTGGGGGGGGGTTTAGTTTTTTGGGGGGGTTTAGTAGGGGTTCGGGGTTTAGGGTGTAGGGGTGGGGTTTGGAGGCTTGCCGGGTTTGAGGCTTAACGGTTTAGGGTTCCAGGGCCAAGCCGTTCCAAACCTCATGCTGCAACTCATGTTTGCCTCATGCAATCTAAATCCTTTGGCCTCTGGCTGCAACGAACCCTCCCAATCATGCAGACCACAAACATTCTGAAAGAGCATTCTGACTAAGGCCGAGGACTTGATGGGGAATGGGGTTTCGGGTTTAGGGCTTAGGAGTTAGGGTTGTGAGTGGTCGGTGGCCCACCTGGCCAAGGTTTCAAAGTGCTTGGACATGTCCGTGGACAGCACGCTCTCCACCACTATGCGCCTCGCCAATGCTCGTTAAACTCAGTTTAGGGTTTAGGGTCTAGGTTTAGGATTTAGGGTGTACCAAGGTTTAGAGTTTAAGGCTCAGGGTTTGGGGCTTGGCCGGTCTAGGGTTTAGGGTTTGGGGTCGGGTTTGGTCAGACCACCGTATGGTCGCTGTTCTGAATTCTGGGCTCTTCTTGAAACCCTAAACCCTAAACCCCAAGCCCCAAGCCCTAAACCCTAAACCCTAAACCTTAAACCCTAAACCCAAACCAGGACTGTGCGAAGACGACGACATGCGACTGGGGCTGGCATGCACTCTGACGGCCTCAACAGTGCGAAGTCTGCGTCTGGCAGACCTGCTCCAACATGGCGTAAGGTGGCAGGGGGAGTCTCCAGGCACAGGCCTCTAAACCCTAAACCCTAAACCCTAACCCCTGAACCCTAAACCTCGGGTTTAAGTGGCCCCGGTCAAATCAGGCAGGTTGGGGAGTGCTTGAGTCTGGGCGCCTGCGGGCTGCTGATTTCGTATCTGCTTCAGAAGCACCCCGAAATCCTGAACCCTGAACCCTCAATCCTAGACCCGCAAACCCTGAACCCTGAACCCTGAACCCTAAACCCTAAACCCTAAACCCTAAACCCATCAGACCTGCCCAGGGTCCCATCTCTGTCCGGCATTTTGGATGCTGGGCCTGTGCACTCGTTGCACCCATCTGGGTCCTCGATCGGGGCCGCTTTTCCACTGGGCATGTCCCAAAACAGGGGCGGGCATTCCTCAAAAAACCCAATCCCTACACCGTTTTTTGGCACCACGCCCTAAACCCTAAAGGTTCAGGGTTCAGGGCTGAGAAGGGTATTACCCCCAATCCCCGCCCCCGCCCCCAAATCACAAATCTGCGCCCCATTGGAGAACTACCCACAACCGGGAACTTCGGAGAGTTAATTACTGATAAGTGGCCTGGGGCAAGTACCGGTACCCTGGATGAGGCTACATAACCTCAACTACATACCTTAAGGCTATAGGACTACCCTTATCACCCTAAACTCTACAACCCAATTCTCAAGTAAGCCTAAGCTACCCGTATAACTTACAACCCAAAACCCTACACCTCACTTATGAAGTAACCCATGAACCTCCTAAATCCTAAACCCTAAACCCTAAACCCCAAACCCCCAAACCCCAAACCCCAAACCCTAAACCCTAAACCCCCTAAACCCCAAAACCCTAAAACCCGCGGAAGCTCCCGCACAAAAAAGTCCTCCGAGATGCAGGACTTCCGCTTGAAAAGCGCCGCGTTGGGCTGCTGGAGGATGCTGAAACCTCGGCACGCAAAAGGGATGCGATTTTAAGGGAGTTTAGGGAGTTTAGGGTTTAGGGTTTAGGGTTTAGGGTGCTTTCGGGATTCGAGGGAGTTTTTTTAAGGGGTGTCAGGGTTTCAGGGGTTAGGGATTTAGGGAGTTTAGGAAGTTAGGGAGTTAGGGTTTAGGGAGTTTAGGGTTTGGGGAGTTTGGCGTTTAGGGTTTAGGGTTTAGGGAGTTTAGGGTTTAGGGAGTTAGGGTTTAGGGGTTTAAAGTTTAGGGTTCGGCTTAGGGTTGAAAAGTCTTCGGGCTTCACGCGCAAGGCAGGGACCGATGGTGCAGTGCATGTTCTCCAGGGGCGACTGGTCCTCAGCAGCGCTTCAGGTGCCCACCCGCCAGCCCGGCCGCTGCTGCTTGGAGGTTCGTGGGTACTTATGAGTAGGGTTTAGGGTTTAGGGTTTAGGGTTTAGGGTTTAGGGTTTAGGGTTTAGGGTTTAGGGTTTCGGGGTTAGGGGTTTAGGGCTTAGGGTTAAGGGATAAGGGTTTAAGGTTTATGGTTTAGGGTTTAGGGTGTAGGGAAGGGTAATTGTAGTTGTACTTTCTGATTATCCTATTCAGGGCACTAAACGCCAATTCTGAGTACCCCGGCAACCTCCAAGTGCTGCTTCTGAGCTGGGTGCGTTGAACAATATGGCCACAGGGTCATGGCTCGCGATGTGATACCGGTTGCTCCTGGCACACAGATGCCGTAGTTGAATCCCTTCCCGCCCCCTACCCACGCAATCGAATTGCGTGTTGGGGATGTATGTTCCCAACAGGACCCGATATTTCCCTTTAATACAAACCCATCAGGAGCCCCTAAACCCTTACACCCTGAACCCCAAATCCTGCACCCCAAACCCTAAACCCTAAACCCTAAGCCCTAAACGCTTACATAGCAGGTGCTGCTTCTCAAGCTCATTCTGTGCACCTCCCGAAGTGGCCGACATCGTGAATCACGGCCTCGGTCGTCTCCTAGTTCTGACACTCTACCAGCCTAAACCCTCCAAACCCTACACCCTAAACCCTACACCCTAAACCCTACACCCTAAACCCGAAAGCCTCCAAACCTCAACCCTTCATGGCCTAATGAACGCTAAAGTCAGGGGCGTCGCGAAAGCCCCTCACCTCTAGCTCGCTTGCCCGCCTTCCGTAGCACCCACTGCCGGCCCGAGCCCGAGCTTGTTCTCCTGCCTTACCCTCAACCCCCAGCCGCGGGCCTTGTCGTTCTTTTTCTTTGCCGGCCCCATTGTTGGAAGCAGGCAGTTGACTTGAGTTTAAGCTTAAACCCTGATGGCCCTCCACTCTGCATCCCAACCTTCACAGCTTCTGCGCAATATTGTCGCAAACCCTCAGCCCCAAACCCTAAACCTCTAAACCCTAAACCCTAAACACCTCAAACCCTAAACTCTAAACCCCTCAAACCCCAAACCCTCACCCCTTAAACCCTCCAAACCCTCCCAGCTCTTGGGTCGCCACTGCAACGAAAGCTGCCAGCCGCGGTATGGAGGACAAGGGCAGTCTGCTAACCCTCCGGTCCTCTCAAGGAGGAAGCTTTCGGGCTTGTTTAGGGTTTAGGGTTTAGGGCTTAGGGCAGCTTAGGGTTCAGGGGGGGCTCACCCATGCTCTGCCTCTGCTTTTGAGGGACAAAAAATGCACAGGCACGGGCTCCTCGAACATGAAGTACATCGTGGAACTCAGGACATCCACTGCATGGATGTAGTTGTGATACGGGACGTCGCGGTACTGTCTCTGCACGTCTTGCAGGAAGCCCCTGCGACGCAAGAGACAATCTGGAGTCAGGTGCCCAAATCCCATACCAAATCCTGCTTCTGGCACCTGATTGCAGAACCGTGCTACAAGCGCGGCCGTTGAAAAACATAGTGGGAAAGGGCAAGCCAACAGTTGTATCTTCTGCCTCAGCACCATCTGGAAATTCGCGACTTCTGCCTTGCGAGGCTTGCACAGATCTAGGAGAAGCGCCGGACATCTGGCCATTGCTCTAACTTACGGTCCTTTCTTGGAATCACTATTATAAAAAGGCGGCCCCTCATGTTTAGGGTACTGTACCCCCCAAAAAGGGACCACATTTTTGAGAACTGACCATCGAGAAAACTGTAGCATTTGCAAGCCATGGGGGGCCCGGGCCTCTGCGAGGAACTCAGCACCCGCGGTGAAACCCGCGTGCAACCTGAAGCGAGGGATGGGGACCTGATCCTTTCCTGAATCTACTTTCTGCAGAACCTATGTGTATGTAGATAGATATATATATAATATATATATATATGTATATATATATATATGAATATACAGATCCCCGAATATGGAAAGTGCAAGGTCTCCGGCTATGGGTTCGATGCAACAGGGTTTACAAGGACTGTACAACCGATGAGGCCCTGCCAGGTCAGGAGAGAGGGGATACCAGTTCCAATACCTTTCTGAGGCTGCTCCGCTGCTCCGCGATCCACCAAAAACCAGGGCCGGGGCAGCGCGTTGCCATGCTGCTCGTCCTGGCACAGAAGGATTAAAACGAGGGGTTAGGGTCGGGTTTAGGGTTAGGGAGAAGCTAGGGTTTAGGGTTGCAAGTGCAGGCACGGAAGCAACACAAGCCAGGCTGACAAAGGCATAGGAGTCAAACTTCCAGCGACCGAGTTGAAGGAAGGCAGTCTGGAATGATGCACAGGGGCTCACAGCGTGCCACCCCCAAGAAAAGGCAACGCGTTCAGACCAAGATCGGGTTGAATTCCGGCTGGATCCGTGTCCGACAGACCCTGAAACCTAAACGCTAAAACCCCAAAAACCCTAAACCCCAACAACCCTAAAACTCCAAACCCTAAACCCTGAACCCCAAAACCTAAAACCCTAAACCCCAAAAAACCCTAAAACCCTAAAACCCTAAACCCGAAACCCACAGAGCCGGTCAGGGCCTCTTTCTTGTTCATGGGCTCCGGCCTCGATTGCTGAGCCCTAGGGTTTAGGGTTTTGGGTTTTGGGGTTTTGGGGTTTAGGGTTTAGGGTTAGGGTGTAGGGCTTGGGGTTTAGACCCTAAACCCT